CCCCAAAACCCCAAAACCCCAAAACCCCAAAACCCCAAAACCCCAATCCATTTGGGGAATATTGAATTACTCTTTAATCTCAACAGCTTTCATATACTTCCATTCTGTGACCCTGTATCTTCATTTACAGAAGAAGTCACTGAAATTACCTCAGATTCCTTTGCTGAAGGGAGACTTTATGTAACAAAAGAAGGACTTCCATGGGTTTGAAGTGGCATATTGAGTCTTTGCTAGGTAACTCAATTTGGAATAATATTTCTCGTGAATTGTCCAGTTGAAAATTACCATATACATCTGATGTAGTATGAGTATTAAAAGTCATGGGATAGACAATATTAGGAACAAACTTGAAAACACAATTCACATTACGACTGAAAATGGGAAAATAAGTTGGCTGTCTAACTGCATAAAGACCTTATGTAATGCCATCATTCATTGAGTGAGTAGGAGGATGAGAAGAAAGAAGTGCTCTCTTCGATTATACTCCCCTACACAAGTCCCTATCAAATAAGAATGGTGGTCATAGCATCAGACTCAAGCTCTACAAGTGTATCAATGGATTGTCCTGAGTGGCTGAGGTACCTTTCAGACGCTTCAGTAGGATTCCTTATGTGAAGTTTCAGGTTTGATCTTAATTTCTACTTCAACTTCTAAAGATATTATTTGAAACACACCTGTATTTTGAATTGTTTTTGTATCAAAGAATACCTCTAATTTATTCTCTTCTATATCTTCAAGGCCACAAACTTCAGAAGCTACTGTTTGGATAGGTGAATTCTGAAAAGCCTGTAATTTATTCAAGCCAAGATCTTCAGTTGGGTTCGCTTCCTTTAGCTTCAAAGTCTTCTCCATTCTAGGTGTAGTATTGGCAGACTTAGGCAGAGGAGGTCTTGGGCTAAACTTCCCTATGATCTTCTTCCTCTTATTTGGATTGTTTTGAGTTTCAATATTACTAAAATTACTCCTGGCGGTTACAGAGCCGAGCTCGGTTTCGTCAATAAACTTTGTGTACTTTATTGCTTTCTCTTTCGGTGTGACCTTCTAGACAATTGTTTAATTACTTACTCCATTATCTGTGAGGATATCTGCTGCTCTTCTCCGTTTATGATGTCCGATCTGGGTGGTCTTGGTCAGAACAGATGTTTTCCTAGCATGGTTTAAGTTCTTCTTATCATCTTTAGCATCTAAATTTCTCATAAAATCCTTAGAATTTACTCATTTTCATATCGGCTGTTGTTGGCAGGTAACTGATATCCCCATTTTTCATCTTTATCTCTACTGCTTTCATTTGGTCGCTGAATTCCTTGTCTATTTTTGTAAAAATACCTACTTTTCAGGACAATATGACCAGGACTCTTGAACGAAGTGAAAATGTACATTAGGATGCAGATAATCGTCAAGGCAATGTATCCTATTTTTACTTATGAGAATCCAGAATCCAGGTTTAACAGTTTGCTTAATAATTTATATGCTCGGCTTAAAATTTCCAAGAATTTTCACAAAGAAAGAACCACTCTTACCGATATCATACTCCTCTTTATTTGGCAAATATTGAGACATTTATTAGAACTTGTATCAAGAGAAACAGAGCTATGAAGCCTAGTATCCTTCAATATGATAGCTTTGCAATTGACGAAGTCACTCGGATTACTTCTGTAAGGTCCTGCATCCTCTATTCAAAGTTTAAAAACGGTTCATATTCTCTGGAAATAAGATTAATTAGTCTCAAGCAATAAGTTTTGTTAGGCAAGTATTTGGCCGCAATTCTCAGGATATTAATTAAAATGCTAATTTTTGTTAAGCTTCTATTGCAAAAACTAAAAAATGTTCAGGATTTTCTCTCAAAGACCCTTCGTGGTGTATTTCATTGTGAGAGCTTCTATTGGGGAACTACTCTTCAAACCCAGCTGCTCCTGAAGGGATCATATACAGTTTGTGGCCGTACATTATTGACAGATTCCAATAATTTATTGATAATTTGGGGTTTTGGGGTTTTGGGGTTTTGGGGTTTTGGGGTTTTGGGG